ATTTGCAAAATTTGCCTCTGAACCTTGACAAGTGCATGTTTCAGGCTTATCAATTAATGTAATGTAATGTAATGTTATCAATTAACAACAGGAGGGGTCAAAAACATAAGACCAGCTGTTAAATAAAGCTCTTCTGAACTTAGCTGGCATGTGTGTATATATATATTAATGCTGCCCATTATGGGCACAAGCAATTTTCACCCATTTATTAATTATATGTTTTACATTTGAGTGTTTCCTATCCCCTAAACCTCCAGGGATGTACACAGTTTAATACTGGCAACTTCTTATTATGGGAAATACGAAAACGTCTTTTAAAACTATAACTCCCAGTAGAGACGTACCATAGATAGAGAGCATGTTGCGAAACAGAATAGCCAGCATGTGTAGTTCTGGGGACGGGGTGGGGGAGGGGGGGACGCGGTGGACCCGTTCAAATCCAGTTTTGGACAGTCTGACGTGGTTCCATCCCATTTCAAGTGCTGTTCGAGAATCGGCGTAACCCTTGGAGCACACTCTCCAATCACAGAGCTTGAGGACTATCACGGGGTTTGTCAAACAGAGCACATGGTGTAGTCCAAACGATAGCTGGGGATTCTGGGTAGTGTAGTGTTTTCTGCCATCCTTTACTCAGAAAAAATATTTGTTTCTCCGAATCGAAGGGGAAAAATACAAAAGCATTGCACACAATTTAAACCAATCAATGTTGTGTAATTAACAAGGATAATCTGGTGTTTTTTAGTCGATGAGTAGTGCAGATATCACTGTAAAATCAATCGACAGTAAGAGGAATACTTACTTCCGGGTGTACAATTCTCCGTTATCCAATGGGAATGGACGCTCACATTGCCTTTAAGGGCAGCCGACACAAACGAATGCCGTGCTTCCATGAGCGTCAAATCCCGCCGCAGATGGGAATACATTGCAATCAGTTGAAAGCTATTTGCGTCCCTTTATGACGCTGAAGGAGCCTAGGAGCGTCACAACTGGACGCCACGGACACTGACTAAACGTCGCTCCTGGACGCTTAGGGAGTGAGAGTGTGTTGTTGATAGCAGTGGAACAACAGGATGTCAACCTAATAATCTATCAAGTTACCTGGTAACTAGCCATTTTTGTTCAGCTTAATTTACAGCTGCTTACTGCATATACAGTGTAACACAAGCTGTATTAGCTACTTGTTTTTATGCATAGCATAACTAGCTGTTTGTATCCTCCTGTATCCTTTGTTTCACAGTTGCAGCCTAAGTTCATTATTTGTAATACAGTATGTACATATTTATATATTTTTTCCCGTTGGAATTAACGTTACATTTGATACGAACTGATTTTAAATAAATGTGAACAGCAACTGACAATGCCCGGCATGTTCAGTTTTTGTAAACAAGCCTTTTTTTAATTTTTTTAAGAGTGCTATTGAGATTAAGAAGTAGAGACTAAGAACCTAGAGCCATAGCAGCTATGAGAAGCTATACAATGATGCTAAAGGCTGACAGCAGGTATTACCATGTTCATCATCTTATATTAGTGTGTTAGCATGGTAACATTAGCTGATTAGTAACACATGCAAAACATAGCGGGGGCTGATCCAAATGCTATTATTTCTTCCGGTATTTTGTTTGTAGTACAATTAGCTTGAGAATGCGTAACTGGAACTGAGTAAAAGGAAAAAAACATGACGAAACACATTCATGTAATAAAAAGAAAATGACTTTACAAGATATTTTTCATGCCAATAATTCAAGGCATGCAATGTTTCTGCTGCAATAATCCTTGCTCAGTTAAAAATGACCTCACTCTTATCTCACAACAATATGTCCTTGAGTGATTCAAAGGGATGAGCTGTGTGCAGGGTTAAGCTTCTGAAAAACATTGGCTTTAACAAGAACAACTTTAAGACAAAGCCTTGTCTGCGTCTGCACTGCAATGATTAAAGCCTCCCGTCTAAGTTGAGGCTAAACGTTGCATGCCGTCAAGGTCACTTTCAATTTTGAGTGAAACAGAAACCTCGATGGGAATATGAAATTAATCTCTGTATACGTTTAAGCAGCGCTCAGCACTATTCTTCTTAGAGGGTCCCAGGAGCCCTTCTTCACTATGCAGATAAAAGACTCCAAAGACAACGGTTCATATATAACGGTTCATATATCTGATGCTTTACCTCAGAGTCATTTTGAAGACACCAAAGTGTATTGTAATTGGACTCACTCCAGCACAAAGAAACTACTTCCTTGAGAGCAATTTGAAATACCTGTCTTACACTCGTTTAAAATGCAGGAGTTAATTAATATCACCTTTCTTCCCTCAGTCTCTATGTGCAAAGTGAACATCTTATTATTGTCCAGGATTCTCACCACCCAATTACTGATATTATAAAATGCCAAAGGCAATTTTTACAAAGAATAACTCCACTTTGAGCATCTGACTCAAACCACCTGTCATTCTGTAAGCGTCTCACCCTTTTTGGTGTCATTGATACATTTTATGGCATAAAAGGACAAATTATTCCAGTCAAGAGCGATGCTTTAGTGGCCGGGGGGGAGGGGGGGGGCTGTTTCCACACTTGTTGGCCACACAACACGGTAGGCTATAGTTAGAGAGAAAAAGTGAAACCCTTGCATCTGACAAGCTAACAGCAAAGATAAAAAGCAAAGATAAAACCGAGCTCTAGCCCCACTACAGATCTGCCTTATCAGATATATTGCACTAATATATGCTTGCATACATCACTGCTTGTTAAAATGTGTGGAATAAAGCATGAACATCTCCAAAAAAAAATGTCCTCTGTATTGACTAAAATCACAGTCATTTATTTTAAAGGAACCATTGTGAGAGATTTTGGTGTTCCTAAAAATAATAGGAAAGCTCAAAAGACACTCACGGCAAGTTGTAAAATCAGTGGTTGAAACCACACGCACTAGCGGTTGTAGCTAGATGCATTATTTATTGATACTGAAATTATAAATGAACACATATCTGCTTTGAGAGGTAGCTGAAGCACTTAGTGGAGAAAACAACATTTGACAGACACACCTTGTGTCAGATGTTAAGGTGAGTGGGGATCAGCTGCTCAACGTGAAGGAGCTCCGATATTGTTTTATTTACCAGAGAGACCGACTGCCGGTAAAGGCCCTGTCACACTGTCCCGAAATTGACACCCGATGGACACACGATAAAGGAAATGTTAAAATTCGGCTGTGATCGTAGCAACATCGGGCCATTCGTGAGGGCATCTAAGCCATCATATGACCGCCGGTGGAGTTTCTCAGGCTCCGGCAGCAACTTCGTGAGCGGCAACTTCGTAAGGCACTCGTGAGGGCATTGATTGAGTGATTGAGTGATTGAGTGATTGATTGATTGATTGATTGATTGATTGATTGATTGATTGAAAAGTTTATTAACAGCTTGTATATTGGGTACAGTACAGTACAGCTCAAAACATACAATTGTTAAGGGGATGCAGACCAGAGAAAGACTTTCGTCTTGTTTACATCAGGGTCCCCCATTTCCAATTCATCATGTCATTTAAGACATATAAGACATATTTGACATACAGATGGCTTATTTACAATTTTACATCTTGTCAAATCGTGTCCTCTTCGTGTTATCATCGGTGCATTCGCCCTCACTCTGATCGGGGCGAATGCCCGATTCTTTCACACACACATACGGATTTTGGGCCGAGGGCGACACCGTACTTCCGGTATCAACCATTCCACGCGAGGTGCATACAGAATATCATAGTCGATTGCCTTAATCAATATAGTCAACTCTAAAATACCACATATATGCATTGGCATGATAATATTATTGTGACAAGTGGGATATTCACCTGGTGTTTCCAGAAGATAGACGTAGATGCAGCCAAAATCGACCGAAGGCCACTTTTGAGGGTCGTAATTCCATACATTGTACATCCAACAACCCACACAGCTCTAGTTTACGCTGGTAACGACCTAAAGCACACCCCTCAAGTCCAGAGATGTAATCCGAAGACATGCAGCGATTTCTTCGGTCGTTAATTCAGAAAAAAAACCTAGTGCGCTCTGCCTGGGTACATAAGCTAGCTGTTTATACTAGCATTGCCAGGATTTTTGCACCTCCAGAAAAATGGCGTCTTTCTAAAAAAATATATGGTGCGCGTTGCATTGTGGGTAGCTGTGACGTCACTGTGTGTGAAAGAATGGCACCGATGATAACAAGATGCCCTCACGATGGCCTTACGAAGGGCAAAATTGACACACGAATTCAACACGAAAATGAACCTTCGCAAGGTCCTTCGGCAATTTTTTGGCATGCCAAAGATTTTGCCACCGCTCACGAAGTTGCTGTCGGAGCCTGAGAAACTCCACCGGCGGTCATAGATGGCTTAAGATGCCCTCACGAATGGCCCGATGTTGCTACGATCACAGACGAATTTGAACATTTCCTTTATCGTGTGTCCATCGGGTTGTTTTATTGCACAACAAAATCATGTAAATATATTATGTAAATAACCCAATTTGTGTTCTGTGAAACTAAAAAGGATATAATATATTATTTTGAAGGACAGTTGACAGGAAGTTGTTGTTGTTATGGAAACAACATTACGGAGAAAACGTAATATTTTCTACATATAAAGACGGATAAAGTAAAGAACAAAGTCTGAAGATATCAGTACAGTATCATAGTACTGTAACATAATTGTTTTTGGTACTTTCATTGCAGTTGTATGTCTTAAATGTAATGTAAATGTTGCCTTCGTGTGTGGTCGGGGCCATCTTCGTGCGAAATTCACAATTCCATATTCGTGTGTCCATCGGGTGTCAATTTCGGGACAGTGTGACAGGGGCTTTAGGGACTCTGGCTTTGAGGACAGAGCTAAGCTGTAAATAAGCAAAGATCTTAGTTTACCGCTCAATCCTTGTTCCAAAAAGAGTGAGATCACACATTCAAGGTTTCGAGTTAAGGGCACAGCCAAACAAATAAATTGTTGTATAATCTTTAATCTCATAGTTTTATTTAAAAAAAAAAATATTCACATGTCATCTAATATATATTAAAGAATAGGCAGGACATAAATATACACCCATCTCTGGTTAAGTTGTATATTTACGTTATACAGAGAACTCACACATTCCAAGGAAAAAGCTGTAATTTATATCGGATAGGAAATCATTTTAAAGCCACAAGAAAACAAAACAAACTCTGGATTAATTCTGTCAGCAGGCCTGGGGGGGATACCCCATAAAGAGTTGAGGGTGTTAATCTAAATCAGCAAACGGACAAATGACAACCCAAAGCCTCAAGATCCTGCAGGAAAACAGGCTTCAGATTGAGTTGAGCCGAATTTCAGAGAGTTATTATATATCTAGAATGCCCCATAAAAGTTTAACTAGGAAGTTTGTAAACTGGGATTGATTTTACAGTTTGCCTTTATTTTCCATTTCAACAAGTGTAACTCTCAGGGGTTTGTTTTAAACCTGTCTGGTTGTTTGTTGCAATGTCTGACTTTTTTTGCAATATTGTTGAACTGAAAAACCTAGGATGTTACAATTAAACCAATGTTGTGATAATAACCTGGGTAAACACAGCGCTGGTAACAACTTTTTTAATCAACACATTTACTTTTAGAACAAAAAAGCAGAGGGTAAAGAATGATGTTTATCAAGAGGTACTGACACATTGAAATACCAGCAGGATGACACCTTGTCAAAGGTGGTTAGTTTGCTCATCCTCATCAGCAGCATCTGCCCCCCCCCTCCTTTCTTTGGATAACTGTCATTGTTATAATAATCACATAAGACATCAAGTTGAACCTTTCCTTTAAGTACAGAAGAACCGGTATTACCTGACATCTTATACTTAGCCTAAAGGCTAATGTCTCTGCTGAGTGTGAGTCTGAACACTATTCTTTAATAGTGTCATTAACACAGCTTTTCAAATGACAGTAGCTGACTTGGATGGTGCCAACTATAATTGGTTGTTATAAATGTAAGTTAAAATTGTGTTACGGTTGTCAAGCAGTGACTTTTGTCATAGAGGAATCTCACCCTCAAAGATTAAGCCTTAAATACAAGACATTACAGTAGATTCAATGGAAAGTAAAAATGATTGAGTTCAATTAATTAAGTTATCATTTATAAACCATGAATTCGTTTATAAATGATAACTGCGACGTGAAGAAGTAGAGCATGTCGAATATGGTCAAACATGTAGTAATTGTACCGTTGTCTATTTACAGTACCAGATTTTAATGTTTTTTATTTATTTATTTCTGTTATGTGTATGTTTAAATGTAAATGAAAAGTGATATTGGTTTTTAAAGATTTTATTTTAGCTTTTTTCAGGATCTGAATAGGATTTTTTTCTCAGCCATACAAGCAGTTTGCAGCATACGAAAACACATTTTGAGTACTTTTCTCTCTCTGCCATTGACTAGACATACAGGGCATATGTGAAGCAATCTTTTTCTGTTTCCCTGCCCATAGAGCTGCCAGCAACACGCAGTCAGGTGCTGGGAGGGAGCAATTGGATTCTTCCTCACCAGTGGCTCCTGGAGCTATCAGCTCCCATCCAGGCCATGAAGGCAGAGGAGGATTGAGTTTGAAAGGTGATAATAGACCCAAGACTCCGGAAGGAGCTAATCTATTCCTAAAAGAAGAAAGGAGTATGAATTCTCTCACTTGCCCCAACCTGCCATCACCTCTCCTTTAACAATTATTCTCAGCGAAAGCTTTACAGGTCCATTTTGGAACTGCAATATCACAATTAGATGAACACTGGACAAAACTGTGCCATTACAATTGAAGAGAGGCCAATGTCTCAACATGTATAAGAACATAAATATCCAAAATGATTTCTACAATGATCTGAACCACTTTCAAATGAAACAGTGTTTGTAAGTAACAATATATATATATGTTTTATGTCTGAAGAATAAAAGGCCATTTTATTTTGGGCTTGTACAAATATTGCAACTGTAAGAGTTAACCTCTTAAAGAGCCTTTTTTAAAAAAAATTACTTGACTTCTTTCACAGAAGTGTTCACAGTAGTTTAAAACCCCACTACAAAGATGTATTACCTGCATCTACAAATCATATATTATGTGTAGAAATACAATTCAATTAATAACAAACTTTTAGAACATACAGTATGTTTTACTTAAACTTGACATTGTCTGTTATAAATAAGTCCTTTTATAGTGTTAATGAATGTCAGATTAAAAAAATGAATATTGGCAAAGCTGAACCATTTGTTTAAAATAAGCCATCAGTGTCTTCCAATTTCCACACAACCGTTAGTGGTCACTCCTACCGTGTCCTGCACTGTGTGGAAGTGGTACTCCGTTACATATTGGGGCTTGTAACCTTCCCTGGCCCTTTTATTTCTGGATAAATAAGCTTGAAATGAAGCCTTGAAAGTTTCATGCTGCAAAAAGGCAGCTGTTACAAGGCCAGGAGCATATGTAAACAAGGCAATATCAACACCCAGATGGCCCCTGTCAGTCCAAAGCTCCTGGATCGGCCCTCCCTCGCTGAGTCCTCGGCACGTGGATAATGATGATTATGATGACGATGTTTTTGATCGCTGGTCACATCTGGACTCACTAAGGAAAGAGCAGAAACCAACAGGTTAGTCAGAAGAACGCTCCTTATCAATATAACATCATGGAAGAGGTATTACTGTGTGCCTTGTTAAGAAGGATGATTTTTTATACGTTTGTCTACTTGTCAAAACGTCTTGTGAAAATACCTAAAACCAACTGTCTTCTATCTGACTTCCCTCCCTATCTGTGGCACTTACCCCTGAGCACATCTGATCCCTAAAATAGGTCAGATATATATAGTTTCATTTTTAAAGTAGGTTAAAAAAAATGAATACAGCAGTTTGGGAGTGTAGATTTTGGCAAATGTTACCTAAAGAGGAGTGAATAGTGTTTTGGTTGCGTATCATTTTCAGAAGCAGATAATACACATTTAGTGTTCTTACAATTATTCATGGCAGCAGGATGGTGTATGTTGACCCTATCCCAACTTAATTTCCTTTGTTCACATTTTGGACTATGAAAAAGCATCTTATATGGTAATTAACTTACATTTTAAGTTGCTATTAAAACACCTTAAAGCTTGTATGTGGCCAGGATGTTCTAAATCTTTATTAAATCACACAAATGTAATCAATTTTTGAACAATTATTTTGGTGCAATTCATTACTGAGGTTGGTTCGTTTTGAGGGTCTTCTGTCAGTTTTGTAAGATGTTAATGTTACTGGTTCCTCACCACAGGGATGGAGCAAAGCTGAAACCTTGATAGATGACCAGCAATAAGTCTTCCGAGATTCTCACTTTGGCCCAGAGATCATAAGTCTGTCTAACCCAGAAGCGTTCAGAGTGTGTAAGGGCTCTGTTATCAAACTTTATTTGACTTGCAGAATATAATAAGACCAGCAAAAGAGGCCGTTTGGATTTTGTGGTTTTCAATCCCACTTTTTATGGTGCAGCAGAAATAACCTGAAATTCCTTTCCCCAGTCGGGATCCACAGCTATTACTAACCCTAACCCTGTTATGGCTACATTTTCCTCATTAAATCATTAAAGTCTAATATAATATAATCTACAAAAAATCTAAAATAACTAAATCCAATCTTATTTTATCCCATCTCATCTCATCCTTTTCTACATGTAAGGGCCCATACATGAGCTACTACTGAAGCATCGGAGTGTGGCTTGAATTAACTGCCTATTGATTCACCAGGAGTCCCCAGGACAGCTTTCTAAAGGTCTACAGCTCACAGATAGTCCGCCTGGGTTTTGGACCCAAGAACATCAAACTTCAACACCTAGATCAATACTTCTTACTGAAGCCTTAAGGTTTACAGGGGGACAAAATGTAACGTTCAGACAAATTAATTCTGCATTTGTTTTTTTTGCTTCTGTCTTTATGTCTTTATACACATGTACGTATGTGTATGTATGTGTATATGTGGGTAGGTATGTACATATGTGTATGTGTATATGTGGGTATACATATGTGAGTATATGGGTACATGTACCTTATCTATTAATTTTCTTTTAATATTATCTTATCTTTTATATTACTTTATTTTTACCTAAATATGTATCTATTTATTTAATTACTTTACTAGCTAGGACCGGGAGGGGAGGGGGGGGGGAAAGGGAAAACATATTGACTGTATAAATGTAAACTCATTGTGCCTGACTCAATAAAAACAACATTCAAAAAAAGAAATTAATTCTGCATCACTTTAACCACATTTTAATTTTAACCGCAAAGGAAACTGAAAGTTACTCATGGTGTGATGCAAAAATCTCAAACTAAGTCATGGACATTAGGTTTGCTTGCAAGAGACTTAAAACATACACAAACTGTACTGCCTTTGAGGATCTGATTCATGTGCATGAATGTATTTAGTCTAACAATTATATTCAATGTGTTATGAATGTTCAGTGCATTTAATATACGACAGACATTCAAAGGTAAGTATTCAAATATGGAGCCATTTAATAATACCTTCATTAGCGACACACATCTTGATTACCAACACAGACGTGGACATGTTACTTAATATCACACACACAGTATTGACTCTGACTGCACTGCGGCTATTAATAACCGTCATCATTGCTGAATCTTCTGACTATAAGTGGCTTCCTTTTATGAATCGTAATAAAGGTCCATGAGGTGGAGCATATTACACCTCTAAAAGCATATCTTCATCCTCAATCATAAAACACAACAAAGGCTATATCTCTCCTGTGTCAAAGTAGGGTTTCAGGCCATAGCAAATGCGAATGGCAGAAAATAGATATAATGGTCTGTCCTCTTTTTGGATCCAAAAACAACTGATTTTGTGTACATTTGTTTGGAAAGTGGTGCAGTATTGGCATGTTTCAATACATCCTCAGCAGAGAGGTTAGGATGTCTGAAAGGTGCTTGGTCTGAAAAGAGACGTAGGTCAGAAAGAGAGGCTTACAACTGAAGTGAAATCAATAAAAGCTGATTCCTGAGGACTTGGACCAACAATGATCAATATCACACTAAGTGCACCAGGAAATAACAGCCAACAACTTCAGCAGTGGAGAGCAGCTTTTGTGCGATTATATGAAGGTAAGGTTATTACAAACAGCTCATATTTGTCAAACTTCATTACAGCTTTCCTTGCTTTAGTTACAATGGAGAGGATTCCTACATGGAAACTGTGAGCTTTCCTCTATCACGCCCTGATGATTTCAGCTTGGTTCTTACAATACTATATTCTGATGTAAAACGCATTGCAAGTGTAATCAAATTGCTCTGTGATTGTTCTCTGTAGTATCTGAAGTGTTTCAGTTTTTGCAATTGTGTGTTTGTTTGAAAACAGTTTAGAGAGACAAGAAACACAAAGAGAAAGAGAGAGAGAGAGAGAGAGAGAGAGAGAGAGAGAGAGAGAGAGAGAGAGAGAGAGAGAGAGAGAGAGAGAGAGAGAGAGAGAGAGAGAGAGAGAGAGAGAGAGAGAGAGTGGAGGTGAAATTGGCAGCTACTCTGTTATTCATTCTATGAAAGACTCAAAGACCTTAAATTATATCTTCAGCTGAGTTCTGACAACCTATTTTTCATATAGCTTAATGAATATGTGATGGATTGGGAGCATGAGTCAGCCATATCAATTGATTTGAGAACTTGTTACTTCTACATGCTTACTAAATAACTTTTACAATTGTGTCACATAAACATTTAAAACAAATGATGAGCTGTTGATGAACAGGATTTTAAATACAAATCAAATGTAACCACAAGTCATGTTTATATTTATGGGGAACATTTTAGGATTTCCAAATCTCTGTGATCAGATCAAATAATTGGGCTTATTCAGTTTTTTTTCCAGAACTAAACCAGAACTTTGAGAAAGATCTTAATCCATACTGTCTGCTGTCGATCGTCGCCTGGGGTGGGAGCTTCAACACCATTCAACCGGATTGATTTCTGTGAGACAGTTTTTTTTTTAGACTTCCTTCTGCAAGAAATAAACCTGAGAACTGAACCTTGGCAAAGTCAAATCATCTTTATTTTTAAATTCAACAGTAGAAGTACAACAAAATGATATTAAGACACAAGAGCAAAAACCATTAGATTTTCTAATACTGCTTTTCCTAAATGTGTCTATACAGATTAATGGTAAGATTGATTTGTATCTCAGTTTGGACCTGGACCTCAGAATGGCGTTATTTGTACCAGAACGGGGAATTCACATGACCAAACTCAGAGGCCAAAGGCTATTCTTTGTCTGACTTGACCTGATTCATTAATACTGATTAAAGCACGTTCAGTAAGGCTCAATCGTATAAAATAGATGAAGATCTCTCACAACATCACAATACAAAATAGAAAAGCTTGTCACAAAGCAATGAGTTTCAGCCTTGATTGTTTATGTTGTGGTTGCTTGCTCTTATTCGGAATGATATTCAGAACTTTTTCATAGGTTCATTAGCTAATTGTAGAAGATACCACACAGTTTCTCCAACTACTATGCTTATGATATATCTTCCTTGTGACTTGGATACGAGCCTATGACGCTGTCATAATATGACAAAAAAAGTGTTGTTTGCATTTGTTGCATTTACTTCATATTCAAACTGTTCCTTGGTGATTATGATACACACAGGATTCAGGAGTTTGCCGCATATAAACTCGACAATGTTGCGTCCTCCCTGGTATTTCATTTAATCTTGTCGGGCTCTTGAAAAAAGAGCCTATTTCTGGGACCCGTCCTCTATCATTTGTCACAGATACAAAATATCTGTGTCAAAATGGATGCCGCTGTCCCCTATCCTGTCCATCATATCCGACAGTATAATATGGGAATCTGTTGTCACCGTGTCTCCGATGTAGATGCGTACAGGATGTCTTGTTTTAGCTGCCTGTGTGGTTGAAGATCTCTCCTGAACAAGTGCTACATCATCCAACCACCATCTTTGTCCTGCACCATCACTTCAAAAGGCCATTACAGCAAGAGGACCCAACAGTTCTGCTGAAAACCCTCCCTGATTGTCCCTGTGGTGACTATAAAGAAGGCCTTGAGAAAAGGATGAGTTAAATTATCCCTGTCACACTTTGAAACCCCATACTGAACATGGACGCACATCACCTTCGCACTCAATGCACATGCATAAACGTCTCTAAATTAACTCTAATGATCAATGTATTAGCCGAATCCATGTGTGGCCTATAGAGAATTGTTTTGTTTACACAAGAACAAGATCATCTGGGGGGAGAAGCTAAACGAAGAGAAACCACCTGAGACCTCTTTGAGAGAAGCTGAGTGCTCCCATTCTCAAACATAACAATTGAATAGCTCTGTGCTGGAGACAGCATCCCCTTTCAATTAAATTCAGATGCCAAGAGAAAGTTGAATAAATTAACTCCAAAAAAATCATTTTGATTCATTTACGTCGTCTGTACAATTATAGTGTTTAATGAATAGCCAGTTTTATTCGATTGATCTACTGTGAGCGCTCCCTTTTTGTTTTCTTGTCTCTTTCACCGTTGACATGATCAAGAGGTGCCACATCTGAAAGGTTTAGCTCCCGATTGTGTGTGGGAATTTATA